TCCCCTTCGCATTGGCAGCAGGCTGGATGTTAGCTGGACGTTGTCTGGGCGTTGTTGTCATGTTGTTTTGTTGTTGTTTGTTTGTTTTTTTATGCTGTGTTTATATTGCTCGCTGTTGTTGTTATTGTTTTTTTTTGCGCTGTTTTGTAGGGCGGGCGCCAGACAACACCATGCAACACAAAAACAACAAAAACAACAAAACAACCACATGTTGTTTTTGTTGTTTTTGTGTTGTTTTATGTTGTGTTTGTTGTGTTTGTGTTGTTTTTGTTGTTTTTGTTGTCTGGTGTTGTCTTTCCCTCCCCCCCCCCCGTTTTTTTTTATTTTATTTTTAAGTTTTGTTTTCTCCCCCCTCCTCCCCTCTTCTGACTACTGTTGCCCCCCCCCCTCCCCCGCCCTCCGTCACCTCCCTCATCCGTTTCCTCCTCCCTCCTCAGCGGGCCAACCGCTTTGCGTTCGCTTCCCTCCTGCCTCCCCATTCTGCTCCTCAGCGGCCCAACCGCTTTGCATGGGAAGAGGAAGAGGAGGAGGAAGAGGAGGAGGAGGAGGAGGAGGAGGAGGAGGACAGGATAACGATTTCGTCGCAGCCGTTTTTGGCTTCAAGTTTTTTGAATTCGCCCAACCGTAGTCGAGAATTCGTTAAACGGCTGCCTGGGATGCTCGCTGCGCCACGTGCGGCGCCCTCGGCCCCGCAGCCAACATGGACGTGATTAAAAACGAAAGTTCTGAAGCGGCCAAACCGCTGCACTGTACAACTTGCAATGCAAAAGCGGTCTGCCGCTGCGGAAAATCAGGAGAGAAAGGAGGAGAAGCAAGCTGGTTTGTGATTTTTCTTAGAATTAGCTATTTTTTCATTTTCACTATTGGTTTCAATATTTTTCACTATTTTTCGCTATGTTTAACTATTTTCACTATTTAACACTATTGTTTTCACTATTTTCATTTTTTGCATTATTTTTCTTATTTTTTAGCGCATGTTGATAGGATCCTATAGTGCACCATAGCTACATATAGTGTTTTATAGAATCCGCACCCATCAAAGCAGAGGAGGTCGTGTTTACCGGGGGGGTTCGTGCAGGCTCGCACTGGGAATGGCGCCAGCTCGAAACCCCCCAGGAGAGATTACCGGGGGGGGGGGGTCGCTCCGCACCGGGCACCGCCGACATGTATTAAAACCTGCCCGCCCAGGGCGGAGCACCACGAAGTTTCGCGTCTCAGAGGCCTCCTATAGGACGAAGCCAGGACGAGGATAACATCGGGCGAGGACAGATCCAGAATCTCTAGGTCCGGCGGTTCTGGAGGATGTCTCGGGCGCCGCGGCTTTCTCAAAGCGTCCCGGAACGCTCTGAGAGCGTTCCCGAACGCTCTGGAACGGATATATCCTCGTCCTGGCCCCGTCCGATCCTAGATGGGGTCCGAGCAGGTGGTGTCGGAGGGACGCCGGGTCGGCGACGTCGGCGACGCATCGGTGGCGTCGGCTTGACGAACATCGGGCTCCACATCGAGCCGCATCGCCAGTGCATCGCCAATGCGGCGCAATCCTCGGACCCCATCTGCTTGGACCCCATCTGGGAGGCCTAGAAGGGGGAGCACCACGGTCGGCACATCAAATGAGCGATCGGCCTGCGAGGAGGTGACCCACGGAAGTGTCATATCGCCCGATTGCCCCAGGGATCCACAGGAGCTCTGAGGCACTTGAGGGCCCTCAAAGATCAATGAAGAATATGCCCAAACATCTCATGTAGCAAGTTTGATCAGATGTGCCTACTGTAAACAAGGAGGGTTGTGAAAACCCTGAACCCCACAATGCTGCCGTCTCTTGCGGGCGCATTTCACTTCAGCCGGCGGGGCCGCCCTCGTTCTACTTCCGCCGCCTTCCGCCGAAGAAGAGATGGCAACTGGTTCGACCCTAGAAGGCGAAGCCCTTTCTGGAACGCCCCACGTGTTTCCAGGGGCATCGATCGCCCATGCCGTCGGTACACAAAATCCTGGGCGACCGCGCGGAGTGCCCGCCCCGTGGGCTGTCCGCAGAGCTCCAACGTCGTGTTTTCTGTTCGCAGCGCCTCGGTTACACGCAAGAGTGATCCTGCGTAAGAGTGACCTTTGGTGCGCGGCCCAAAAAAGGGGCCGCGGGGAGCCAATTGCAAGCGCGCAGCAGCCAATGCCCCGGGGACCGCTGTGGGCCCGCATCAGAAGGTCACCGGCGAAGAGCCACTCTGACGAATCATTCGCCGAGCGCCGACCCCCCGAGGTCTGGACCCCCTCCCCACGGGCAAGCTTCTTCCATCCCCGGCAATCTCTGGACGGCCCCGGTGCCCATGCCCACAGGCCGGAGACGGCCGCAGGCCGGCCACCGTGAGTTCTCCACGGCGAACCAAGGGGGCCCAGGCTGCCCCTCCCTGCCTTATGTGAAGGGGCCCCAGGACACACACAAATAAATACACACAGATAAACATATTCCCCATATTTTCGCATATTTTCTGGGTTTCTGTCTTCCCCCCCACTTCCCATATTTTCCCATATTTTCTGAGGAATCGAAGATTAATTGTGTCTGTGTGTTTTTTCCTCTCCTGATTATGTTGCCCCCACCGTACTTAAGGACCACATTCCAGCAATAATTTCGGCCACCCAGAGAAGTATCGAAACAGTGCCGAACGAGCATCGCCTCCCAGGGCCCGACGCGTGAAAATCGTCCAGCTTTGATACCTTCTTGGTGCTCGAGATTGTGTCTGGTGATCTCGAGGGCGCGCAGACATGGATTGGCGATCCATGGATTTGGCGCGCGGTCGCCAAATCCATGGATCGAGGGAGGTGCCCTCCCCAAAATGCGGCCGGTGCCGCCTCGCTCGGCGGCTACATCCACGATTTCCCATGGAAACGGGACCCGTCGCTAATCCACGCCCCCTTAATCCATGTTTGCGACCGCCTGATGATCGAGGCTCAAGTTGTTTGGAACATCGCAATCCTTGCCCCCGCCGAGCCTTCTTCTCGAAGCCGTCGACCACGACTCGGCGCCTCGCGTCGTCGGCCGCCGTCGGCTCCACCCCGGGCGCGCGCGCCTTCCGGGGAGGGCTGCCTCGGGCGGCGGCCGGGGCGCTCATGCCGCAGGCATCACGGTGGGGGGGCGCGGTGGTGGCTGACACGGGGCCAGGACAGGCAAAAAGTCTGGTGGGCTTGTTTTCCACCACCACCACCACCATACGTATGAGGGGGAGGGGGTCCTCCTCCTCCTCTTCTTCCTCCTCCTCATCCTCCACCTCCTTCCCCCCTCCAACTTATGGTGGTGACGGTGGAAAACAGGCCCATCAGCCAAGACAGGGACAAAGTCGGACAGGGACACATCGGGGGTTCATCGTAGAGGTCAAAGAATCCACCCCCATAATAATTAAGCACCCCGACACGCGAAGTCGTTTAGCAAGCGCGCCCGAAGAAAGGATCAAACAGGGCAGGGCTGTTTAACTATATAAACGCCCAGGGCCGTTTGGCGCCGAGGCGCTCCCAGGGCCTTCCGGAACGCTCTGGAAGAGTTTTGGAATCCTGGCCCCGCCCCCCAGACCCCCGACGTCGTGACATTTTAGCAACGTCGACCCCCTGAGGCCTGGTCCCCTTCCCCTGGACCGGCGTTTCATCCTGACTCGTTTTGTTGACGGTCCTGGGGCCCGGCCCAGGGCCTCTGGAGGCCGAAACTAGCGACAAAAAAAACGTCGTGCCTTTGCAAGACGCGAGCATGCCTGGGTGGCCCAGGGCCGCCCTGACTCTGGGAAGGCCGTACTCGCAGATTGAGAAAAGTCACGGCTCCCATGGTGAGAGGGGAACGGGATCGGTTGGACCTGGGCTTTTTGAAATCGGAAGAGGAGGAGGAGGAGGAGGAGGAGGAGGAGGAGGAGGAGGAGGAGGAGGAGGAGGAGGAGGAGGAAGAGGACTCTCGAAGGCCGACTTCGGGACAGCTCCCGTCGTGATTTTGTTCCACAGCGCGAGGGGGTCTGGGCCTGTCCTGGCCCCCCGCCCGGGCGGCGTCTCGCGCCGGTGGGTGCTGGCGCCTTCCGGGGGCGGCGCCGCGCGCTGCACCGCCAGCGGGGCTCCCGCGGGCACCTCGCCCCTTTGAGCCGCAGGGGGCGTGGCCGCGGGGCGGCCGGGCGCCCTCGCTCGCGAGGGGGCGGTGGCGGGCGAGGCGACGGACGATCGAGGGGTCCCGGCGGCAGCGCCGGGGGGACAGGGGAGATGAGGAGGAGGAGGAGGAGGAGGAGCGGAGGAGGGGGAAGAGGGGGAGGAGGAGGAGGAGGAGGAGGGGAGGAGGAGGAGGAGGAGGAGGAGGAGGAGGAGGAGGAGGGAGGAGGAGGAGGAGAGGAGGAGGAGGGAGGAGGAGGAGAGCAGGGAGAGGAAGCAGGAGCAGGAGCAGGAGCAGTGGAGCAGGAGGAGGAGGGAGTAGAAGTAGGAGGGAGCAGGAGTAGTTAGGAGTTAGGGAAGAGAAGGAGGAGGAGGAGGAGGAGGAGAGAGGAGGAGGAGGAGGAAGGAGGAGGAGGAGGAGGAGGAGGAGGAGGAGGAGGAGGAGGAGGAGGAGAAAAAAGGAGGAGAGGAGGATGATGATGATGAGGAGGAGGCGGAGGGATGAGGAAGAGGAGGAGGAGGAGGAGGAGGAGGAGGAGGAGGAGGAGGAGGAGGAGGAGGAGGAGGAGGAGGAGGAGGAGGAGGCGTGTCGACCCCAATCCCAGGCTTCGCCAAAAATTGGGGCCCAGCCCTGGGGTACACGAAGGGGGGGGGGCGTCCGTCCTCGAGGGGGGTTGGGTCAGACGCATCACCCCTGCGAGGGCGTCCGTCCTCGAGGGGGGCCGCAGAGAGGAGCCGCACCGAGGTCGGCTGGACGCAAGAGTGGCCCTGGGCAGGAGTGAGCTCAGGTGCGCGGCTTCAGGGTGCCGCGGGGGGGGAGGGGGAGGAGGAGGAGGAGGAGGAGGAGGAGGAGGAGGAGGAGGAGGAGGAGACGAGACGAGACGAGACGAGCCCATGGAATCCACAACTGTCTAAACCACTCAACAGCTTTACACAGGATTCTGGGAGTGGGTAGCTTCGACCCTCACGAAAACCATGACTTCAACAAAAACTATAGCTCACACCCCTCTGATGAGGCTCTGGCCTGCCGACACCTCTGAGGCACGCAACCTCGAACGAGGGCCGACTTCGAACGGCGCGGGAGTCAGCCGAGCATGAGTCGTTACCCCTGCTGTTGGCTCTCGGTGGTCGGTGCATCCCCCCTCCCACGCCCACGACTCGCCGCCCTCCCCCTCGCACGGCCAAAGCCTCTGCGAGGCAATACTACAGTAGGAATGCTAGGAAGCTCAGGCTGAGCATATGACTGCATCGCACGCTCACCTGCCATTGCTCGTGCTGCTACCGCTGGGTCAATCACTCCTCTCTGCACGAGCGAAGCAAGCCTCTCACTCCTCTGCCACATCACTTGACGTTGACGATCGACGAGATTTCTCTCTCCAGTGGGCCCCGCGGCGCCGTTCCGTGGAGCCTCTCCCCCCCCTCGATCTCGATCGCGCGCTGGTACAGGTCCTGACCCTGCTTGCCAATCGCGTGGGACGTGTCGAAATGCATCACAATCAGGCAGCGCTGGTCCGCGTCGCCCTGCTTCAGAACCTGGAGCCTCACGTACTTCACGGCGCAGCCGATCTGGGCCATCGGCATCTGCGAGATGATGTTATCCCAATACTCCTCGGCGTCCGCCTTCAGCGCCATCTCCTTCTCTGCGTTCGCGCCCTCGGCCCACTGGCGAGTCGCGATGTAGTGGATCCCCTCCGCGAAGATGTGTAGGCGCGGCGGCCCCCTGGCTCGATGATCGATGGTCTCACCTGACTTGGCCTTGTCGGCGAGCTCCTTGCTCCTCACATCGTAAGACTTGCCCGCGGCTGCCAACGCCGCTGGGAAGGCCTGGAGCGCCATCTCGTACACGATGAATACTGCCGCTGCCAGATCCGCCATGCCCCGCGTCGTCGCCAGCAGGAGCCGCGCCACGAGCATGAGCAGCTTGGCTTTGCGGTTCTCCTCCTTGCTGCCCTTGCCGCCGCCCGTCTTCGCGAACTTGGCGTCCGTCTCGCCCTCTCCGCCGCCTGGGCGGCGCGCCTGCGCTGGGTTGAACCACGACGGCATCGAGGGCTCGGCCATGGGAGCGCCCAGCGGCGGCGGAGGAACTCGCGGAAGGTGGCGGACGCCCCCGAAAAGGCTGCAGCTTCCAAGGGAGACGCGCGCTGAGATGGCCGCGGAGATCCTGCAAAACAGCGCGCTTGTGTTCGCACACTGGACAATCATAAGTAGCTGGAGGCACAAGCGCTGAAAGTGAGGTCGCCCCCCTCGTCGAGCAGTTGCCTCTAAGAACTGACCCGGGGAGGTGCCTTCTTGCTGTCACTGTCGTTGAGAATATTTGTCTACAGTGTATGCATGTGTTACATGGCGTTAATACAGCAGGTAAGTTGCGCACATGATGATGTACCCTCATATGGTTAAGTAGTGCCTTGCGATCATGACATATTGCGTTGCGTACTTCGCCCTTGTCGTCTATGATCTTGCACTTGTAGTTGCCTACCTCCTCGGCCCCCTGGCTCTCCTCCTCCATGCCCTCCACCTGCGTAGTAGTAGCCATGCGTACAGCTGGGGGAGGGATACGCGCACTAAATTCTCGAGCTCGATGTTCGGTGAAACCAATGTTCACGAAGTCCTGCGCGGCCTCGGGGTCAGCCAAAATTCTCACATCCAAGAGGAGCTCCTCAATGGCGTAATATTCCACCTTCTCAGAAGCGAACTCTAGATCCTGAACGAGCTGACTCACCCACGGAGAGGCCGATGCCGTGGGAACCCCGTCCTGAAGCCGAGGCTCAATCATAAGCCTCTCCTCTATCACGAGCGCGCCGAACATTGCGCGCAAGGCCTGAGCGTGCCAGCTCGGACGAGCAGCCCGCGACTGATGAAGCTTCAGGCGGCGCATGATCATCTCTGTTTTACTGCCCACAAAGCGCCAGAACTTCATCGCCTGCGAATTGCTGAGAGAGCGGACCGCGCCGCCCTCCCGGTCGCGCGCGGCCTTGCCCCGCATCGCTGTCCGACACAGGGAAGAAATACACCGATCGAGCCGTGCGCAATCACTTTGATGGAGAACGAAAGGTTCGAGGCCATTAATTAGGGCATTGCGCACCTGACCCTGCAATAACGTGCGCCTCCATGTGTAAGATAATGCTAGAGACCATACTCCCCAACACCGATAAAAGAGGTTTCTGTGCCATTTCGCAGCGCCTCGTAACCTCGCGATGCGCAGTGCCCCTGGACTTCAGAAACGGCCCCAAGTAGCGAACACAATCCGACACTGTCCCCTGGAGAGAAGCACGATTACAACAAAGTGCGCGGCGCGCGTGATAATCGCTATGTGCGAAGTTGAACGACATCTCTTGCTTACTACGATTTTGCCCATATCCATGCGGTTCGAAAGCCTCAGCAAGTAGCCCATCCACCTCCGTTAATTGATCTAGAAAGTCCCGTAACATATTACCAGGCCCTGCCAAAATCATTTTCTGTAGGTCATCCGCGTACTTTGTGAGACTCAAGTCGGCCACCAGGCCAGAGAAATATGCAAATAACTCTCGAGCAGAGGGATCAGATCGAACAAGCGAGTAGCTCCACTGCAATGCTGCCTGCGAAAACGTGCCCAGGAAGCCCTGTACTGTAAAGGGATCTCCCATAGGTCCTCCGATGTGTGGTCGCACATGAAAGGGGCCCTCCTGTGCGTCGAGCTCAATAATGGCCGAGCGGTACCTCTGCCGACACAAGCCTCGATCATGTTCGGCAGCCGCTAGGGAAACAGTCTGGTCCAACTCAGACCAGATGGAACTGGCAAGTGCGTTACTCATACCCTTGAACGCGTTACAATATGTTAGCCCTATCTTTCTAGTCCTCCATCCCGTAATTAATGTAATACGTACTGCGTTTTCACGGCGACGATGTTTGACAAATCCATGATCAGCCACCGTGGGGATGATCTTGCGTTGTTTCGCAAAGAATGCTTTGCCCACAAAGGGTAGGACGTGCACCACTCGGACCCCTTTAGGGCTCTCTTCCAGTTTCTGAGATATATTCGCTCCCCGAGACTATTCCAGTAAATCGGAACCTCCTGGTATTCCCTCATCTTTGATAACCCAAGCCCAAGCATAAACCAGAAGCCTTGTGGTGAGATCAGCTTCTGATCAGCTCCTACTCCAGCTCGCGTACGCACACGATAGTTGGGCCACATGCACTGGAATCTCGAGTGGCGCCGTACCTGCAGGCACGGCCGTCCTTTTTGAGGCTCGCCGTGCATACCTACGAATCTCCTGAACGTCCTCCTTCACTGTCTCTACAACCTCCTCATCCGTCACATCGGCGTAGTACGTCCCCGTGTCCACCCTCGACTCCCTCCAGTTCTCCCAAGAGTCCACCTGCACCTCCATTCCCCCCTCAGGTCCACTCCTCCTCCACACCTGAAGCCACGCTTCACGACTGGGCGGCGCACAACGAACAAGACGGCCGTCTCGCCGCTTGGGCCCGCAACGGGCACGGGCAGCACGGCGAGCCAGTCGCATTCCTTCAGCTGCACGGCCCCTACGCCACAAGTCCACAGCCTCGGATGTGAGCTGGCTGCGAAGCCTGCGGGAGGCCCTTCTCCTGTCCAAAAACAACTGGTGCGCCAGCTCCTTCGACTCACGATCGACCTGGAGGGCGATCTCTGGTGTAGCTTGAAACTTACCACTTCGAAGTTCAACTCGTTGTTGTAGAAGAGTACGTCTCCGAAGACAGTCCTCAGAATACTCAGGTCGCAGTTCGCGCTCCTTCGCATAGCACGTCTGGCCCGCTTCCAACAAACATCTCTCGAGCACCTCGAAGATCTCGTCGGGGCCAGCGTTGTCACGAAACCACTGCATTTGAGGGCCGTCGAACTTAGTCTTGAGAGCCTCCAAGAACTCAGCGCGCCCGCGGCCTTCCCGCAACGACAGCATCAGTCGATCATAATCCCAGCCCTCTTTGTGTACCATCTCCGTCTCTACCCCATGCTTGGCGTATTGGATGACTGCTACCACAGGGGCATGATCACGCGGCGATACTCCTCAAACAGCCTGCAGTTTGGTGCCTAACCTCAGATGTGCGCGACATGGTACCACTTCTGTATGCATAGGTTGTGGAAGAAAAAGGTAATCAATTCTCGGATTCCCAGCATTTCCGAAAAACATAGATTCAATCTCGGAGCCGAACGTGTTCGCTGCAACAAACTCGTGGGTTTCCATCAGCTGCCGCATGCGATGTCCTGCACTATTCACAAATAGCTCTCGATTGGGTGTGCCTACCACGGGGCTGTTAACTGATGACCACACCCCGTCCGCTCGAGTCTCGCCGATCCCGTCGTTCAAGTCTGTAAAGATGATCGGCGTGCATCGCACTGGCAGAGAACACAGTATCACGGCCAACCACGCGATGAGCACTGCAACCGTCTCGAAATACCCACTATACTCTGCTCGAGACTTTGAGTGGGGTGGGAAGTAGCACACAATATCACGCACGTCGACCGTGCCGTACTTCACGCGTGCCGCTACTGCTTTACCTCGTGCCTCAGGCGGGGGCGGCCAAGTGCGAAGTAAGTGTCGATTGGTCACCTGCGGGCTGAAGGCAAGAGCGCAGCCACAACTATGATTGCTAAACGGCGACGGGTGGAAGGGCGAGGATATACACAGTCTGCCTGCACATCTCGAGCTCTGGACATGAGGGGCCAGGGAGTTGTGCTCCACCTGCTGCGCGCCTGCAAGAAGAACCACATCAAAATTCCTCGTTTCCCCCAGAAGTTCTGGGAGGCGTGCTCCTGACGTTTGCATAGGATTAAATCCCAAGACTCGTAAGAAAGACATACCATCACCACTCCCACTGAACTGCAGCTCTCATCCCCGCGAGTGGCGGCCGCCGAAACTGCTTCGGCGCGTGCGCGGAGAGCCCCCCCCTGCAATCTCTCGATGTAAAGGGGCTTGGAGGAGGAGGAGGAGGAGGAGGAGGAGGAGGAGGAGGAGGAGGAGGAGGAGAAGAAGGGGGAGGAGGGGGAGGAGGAGGAGGAGGAGGGGCAGAATCCAAGCGCGCAGGCCCATGCTGGTGAGACCCCTGCGGGCCCGCACCAAAAGTGACTCTTGTTTCTCTCTTCTCCCCAGGCCTGAGTCAGCATGCTGACGGCCGTTAGCAGTTGGCCTCTCTCTGGGCGAATGTGGTTGCCAGTGCCTGCGCAACGTCGTCTAAGGCAACGGCTTGCACTGTTCGAAATGAGACAGGCCGCCGCGGAAACGCACCAAAGGTCCCTCCAGCCAAGGGTCGCTCTCACGCGCCAGCCGACGAGGAAAAGGCACCCGAGGCGGCACATTGTGCCATGGCTCGGACACCCGTTCCCCGTGCCTGCGTCGGCGTCGCGCGTGCACTGCTGCTGCCAGGAGATCCGGGGTGTTCCTCGGGGGTCCTCGCGGAGGACAGCGGTGCCGAGTGGGTCGCTCTCACGCGCAGCCGACGGAGAGGGCCCCGAGGCGGCACGGGGGAGGGCAACGCGGGGGGCACCGAGGCGGCCCGCGGGGCACCAGCCCCGCAGGCCAGGGGCCCCTCCGAGCCGCAGGGGGGGGGGGGGGGCTGCGGGTCGTCGCCGCCCTCGCCCCCCCGAGGGCCCAAGCTTCTTCGACGTTTTCTTTGGGGGGGGGGGGGGGGGGGCAGCCTTTTGGGCGCACGCCTTGCAGGAGGCTGTTTGCCGCCGCGGCCGGGCCCCGCCTCGGAAGTCTGGTGCAGGTGCGCCCTGGGAGGCGTCTGGCAGCCGATGTTGATCAGGCGTTCCCAAACACAGTCTGGAATAGAACCGGGTGGATGTGTGTTGCATGCGGTCGGCCTCCCAGGGCCGCCTTCGGGCCACCGTGCGGTCAAAACGGATCCGAAAGACAAGTCACCGTGGCAAAGAGTCCAGGCGTTTGGGGACTGCCAACATCAGGACATCGGAGAGCAAGGTAGCCTCGGTCCCGTCGCTTCAGTGATACATTCCCTCGTTCGGCTCTTCTTCGTATGAATCGTACGTCGCATGTTTATGTTTACTATCATTTCTAGTGTTCGTCTTCTGATTTCTTCGTATTCTTGATACTGAAATTCGTAACCGTAGTGTTGCTAACATGTCCGACTCGTGCAAGTCGTATCCGTGTTAGCACTAGCGTGTTCGTTACAAGACTACTCTTATCAAGTATCTCATCATTGGCATTGCTATCGCTGCAGGGACTTGTGATGCCATGACGATGCTGTCCCGCTTCAGTCGGCGACGACAGCGGCGATCACCTCCGACGGAAGACGAATGCCGACGACGACGAAGACGACGACGACAGTCGACGACGACGGTCGACGACTGCATCCGAGCGCGCTGCCGGGAGCCCGCAGAGGAGCATCATGAGCATGTAGCCGAAGTAGAGCCTTGAGCAGGGACCGACGGTCCCGGCATTCCTATACACGTCGTTCATTTCTAATCGTGCTCATTTCTAATTGTGCTCTTTTCTAGTTGTTCCTGGCCCCCTAGTGGCCACGAAGAGGCCCAGGATAGAACAATTAGAAATGAAAGGATCTCGGCCCCCAAAAAATCAAAGAACCTTCGAATAATTAGACATGAACAATGTGTAGGCCCACAACGACATGTTCGTATAACCCAAACATGTTCTCATAACAAGAACACGGTTATTGGAACATAAACCCGATGTGTTAAAACAATAGGGTCTCAGCCAGATGTGTTAAAACAATAGAGTCTCAGCCAGACATGTTCTAAGAACCTGTCGCGCAAACCACAGAAGGTTCTTAGAACATTCGTCGGTGGGCCTGTATAGGGGAACAAAAAGTGGCATAAACATAAACACTCAGAGGTCCGCGCGGATTTCTGGGATCGGCGCTGGGGCCCCCCGGCGGCGCCTCCGGCGCCGCCCCTGGTGCGCTCCGCGCGCCAGGGAGGGGGGTCCAGCGCCGCTCCGAGAAATCCGCGCGGACCTCCGAATTTTTATGTTTATGCCGTTTTTTGTTCCCCTACTATCGGGAGCGGCAAAGAGGGGGTTGTCCGAGAGGGGGGGGTGCAAATCATGACCGGCGGCATTTGCGCGGCCCAGCGGGGGGGCCAGGAACGTAAGGAAATACGACGAGGCGCCATGAAATCTGGGGAAATATCATGGCCCACGCCATGATATCCACCCCCCCCTAGTCATCACCCCCCTCTTTTCCGCCCCCGATGCTATAGGCGACGGGGCGCTTCGCCACTGCTTGCGAGCCAGCTGTAGTGCAGGTGGGCCGTCACCAGGACGGCCACGTAGCCTCGGACGGCCGGCCGGCTTCGGGACGGCGCTCGTCGGCGGGGGCGAGGCGGGCGGCCAACGAGGAGGGCGGGGCCGAGACACTCGCCGAAGGAGGAGGAGGAGGAGGAGGAGGAGGAGGAGGAGGAGGAGGAGGAGGAGGAGGAGGGAGGAGGGAGGAGGGAGGAGGAGGGGGAGCAGGAGGAGAGGAGCAGGAGCAGGAGCAGGAGGAGGAGGAGCAGGAGGGAGGAGGAGCAGGAGCAGGAAGCAGGAGGAGGAGGAGGAGGAGGAGGAGAGGAGGAGGAGGAGGGAGGAGGAGGGGAGAGGAGCAGGAGCAGGAGCAGGAGGAAGGAGGAGCAGGAGCAGGAGCAGAGGAGCAGGAGGAGGAGGAGGAGCAGGAGCAGGAGCAGGAGCAGGAGCAGGAGGAGGAGGAGGAGGAGGAGGAGGAGGACGAGGAGGAGGAGGAGGAGGAGAGAGAGAGAGCAGAGGGGCGCACAAGAGCAAGAGGCGCGAAGAAAAAAGTGAGAAGACAGAGAAAGAGAGAGAGAGAGAGAGAAAGAGCAGAAAGAGAGGGTCCCTCGGTCCTCTCTCTCTGTTCTCTCTCTTCTTCTCGTCGCGTCTCTTGCTCTTGTCCGCCCTTCTGCTCTCTCTCTCTTTCTCTCTTCGGCGAGTGCGCTCCTCGTCACTGTCGAGGACAGGGAGGAGGACGCGGAACTTAGTCGACGACGACTACGGCGGCGACGACGATAAGGGCGAGAAGGAAGTGGGAGGGAGGGACAACGCGGACGAGGGGCGGGGCGGGGGCATGCAAGCAGGCGAACGCGGGGACTCCACGGACGGGTACATCTGTTAACTTGTGGGCGAAAAAAACGACGGGCGAAACTCTAGGATGGGGGAGGACAAGGAGAAGGACGAGGACAAAGGGGCAGGATGACTTCCAGCAGGAGGGGGAGAATCAGCACGAAACTGGGGAGGGCGACGAGAAGGGGACGTGAGGAGAACGAGAGGACTGATGATGCTGGCGGTGTTGCTTCTGCTCATAATAGCGATGACGGTGGTGCCCCAGGGGGAGGAGGAAGAGACCTCTGCGAAACCTGCCCCTCCGCAGCCCCGCGCTCGCCGCGCGCAGCGTCGCAGCACGGGACGGCCTCCGCCCAGAGCGCACGCGCACCCCAGGGGACACACACACACACACACACCGCAGTCGCCCCCAACAGCACGCGGCACGCACTTGGAGAGAGAAACCGCAAGAAGAGGGCGAGGGATCTGGAGCACGGCGTCGGCAGACGCGGCGGCAGCGGCGCGGCAAGCGGCACCGCCCAGGGGACGGCCCCGGAACGCAAAGTGGCCCATGAGTCTGGACCGCCCAACCTCACGCGCCGCGCCACGTGATGCGCGACACGAGGTGATCTCCGCGCCCTGGCGCCGCCACCTTGAGTAAGGGCAGCTCTCCGGCCAAGGCCGGTGTGCGCGAATCGCGAAGCGCGATCGTCTTCGCGCCCCTTTGGGAGACCCAGGTGCACCAGGTGCATCAGGATCACATTGCGCTTGGGGCGGGGGGAGGCTTGGATATCACTCTCCGAAAGACGCGGGGCGTCTGCCGCCTGCCCGCTGCCCCACGCGCGACCTCCCGCTGCAGACATGCCACGAAAGCTGGACCGGCAAAATCTGGCACGCGCTCGTCAAAACGAGTCGGCAGACCCCGAGCTCCAGCGCACTCGAGTCCAACGTTACAGCCTCCGCGGGGCACCGCTCACCCCCGCGCGCGCCAGGGCGGGGAGCCCTGGCCGTGGAAAGAGCGGGCAGGGGGCCCCAAGCTCGCCATCGCGCGGACGTCCATTCCCCGTGCATTTTTCGATTTCGTGCGCGTATTTGTCGCTAAATGATCAAAGATGCTCCTCGATGGTCCTCGCCGAGAACAAATGCACACGTCCGAGCGATGCCAAGCAAGGAGCCGTTCGCAGGCGGCGCGCTCGCCGCCCCCGCGCGCGCGAGGGCGGGGCGCCCGGGCCGCGGGCCGTCCGCAACGAGGTCCGACACATGCAGGGCGCCTTCCGCAAACACGGTCGGTTCCCAACGTACGACGCCGAACCGGGCCTTTCGCAACATGTACGGCGCGTTCCGCAACATTTACTGCGCCTTTTGCAACATGATCGGCTCCCACAATACGACGCCGTACCAGGCCTTCTGCAGCATGTGCCACGCCTTCCGCAACAAGCACCGCGCTTTTCGCAACGGGGTCGGTTCCCAACCTACGACGCCGTACTGGGCCTTTCGCCACATGCACTGCGCCTTCCGCAACAGCGGCGGATTCCCAACGTAGGGGCCGCACTGGGCTTACCGCAACATGTACCGCGCCTACCGCAACGTGGCCGGTTTCCAACAGGGCCGTACCGGGCCTTCCGCCAAGCCGTACCAGGGCTTCCACAACATGTACAAGGCCTTCCGCAAAATGGTCGGCTCCGAACGTACGCCGCACCCGTTCTTCCGCAACATGAGCGGGGCCTTCCGCAACGAATGCACCGCGCTTGTCCGCAACAAGGGTCGGTTCCCAACGTGCGAAGCCGCGCTGGGCCTTCCGCAACATGCACCGCGCCTTCCGCCCAAGTAGTTTTTGGACGCCCGAAATGGGTACGGAACGAATGGGTACAATGCCCAACAACAAATGTCGTCCCAAACCAACAGCGGCCGCTGTTGGGCAGGCGGCCTTCTGTCTCAAATGGACACACGCCGCGGCGGCGCGGACAGCGAGTCTTTTTCAAAATGAACAAGAACTGCTGTTGGGCATTGTACCCATTCTTTCCGTACCCATGTCGGTCGTCCCGATAGTTGGTTCCTAATGTAGGGGCCACACTAGGCCTTCCAAAAGATGTACCGCGCCTTCCGCAGCATGGTCGCGGTTCCCAACGTAGTGGGCGCGCTGGGCCTTCCGCAATATGCACCGGGCCATCCGCAACCTTTGCCGGTCCTTCCGCAACGTGGCCGGCTCCAAACGTACGCCGCCGCACCAGGCCTTTCACAGCATGCACCGCGCCTTCTGCGACGTGCACCCCGCCTTTCGCAACATGGCCGGCTTCCATCGCACGCCGCCGCACTGGGCCTTTCACAGCATGCGCCGCGCCTCCTGCGACGTGCACCCCGCCTTTCGCAACCTGGCCGGCCCCCATCGCACGCCGCCGCCCCGGGCCCTTCACGACACGGTCGGCTCCCAACGTGGCCGCCGCGCCGGGCGCGCCCGTTCGGGTTCCGCCCGCCCGACCCGCCGGGCCAGGGGGCCGCTCGCCCGACCCGCCCGCTCGGGCCCGCTCGCACGGCCCGCCCGCGAGGGCCCGCACGCCCGGCCCGCGCGCCCGACCCGCGCGGGAGGAGGAGGAGGAGGAGGAGGAGGAGGAGGAGGAGGAGGAGAGGAGGAGGAGGAGGAGGAGGAGGAGGAGGAGGAGGAGGAGGAGGAGGAGGAGGAGGAGGAGGAGGAGGAGGAGGAGGAGGAGGAGGAGGAGGAGGAGGAGGAGGAGGAGGAGGAGGAGGAGGAGGAGGAGGAGGAGGAGGAGGAGGAGGGAGGAGGGAGGAGGGGAGGAGGGAGGAGGGAGGAGGGAGGAGGGAGGAGGGAGGAGGGAGGAGGGAGGAAGGAGGAGGAGGAGGAGGGGAGGAGGAGAGGAGGAGGAGGAGGAGGAGGAGAGGAGGAGGGAGGAGGAGGAGGAGGAGGAGGAGGAGGAGGAGGAGGAGGAGGAGGAGGGGGAGGAGGGAGGAGGAGGAGGGAGGAGGCAAGAGGGAGGAGGGCGAGAAGCAGCAGCGGGAACTGGAGCGGAGGGAGCGGGAGCCGCAGAGGGGCAACGGGGAGGCGGAGGAGGGGGCAGGAGGAGAGGGCGACAGCGAGGGAGCACGATTCTGACCTGGGGAGACGTCCCGCGCTGGGGCGAAGGCGCCGTCTGGAACGAAGGGAGCAGAGCTGCGATCCGAAGCTGAGGCCTGCTCTGCAGCGGGAGCACAGCTCTGGAAGGGCCGACACCGCCCGGATCGGAACGGCACATAGGAAACATAGGAGGGGGCAGGACACTCACAAACCCTTCTCGGGAAAGAAAAGAGAGAGAGAGAGAGAGAGAGAGAGAGAGAGAAAACAAAAGAGAGAGAGAGAGAGAGAGAGAGAAAGAGAGAGAAAGAGAGAGAGAGAGAGAGAAAGAGAGAGAGAGAGAGAAAGAACAAAAAAAAAAATGAGGGGGGAGATCGGGCCTCAGGGTGGATAGGGGGGGGAATTCGGAGCATTCGGCGACGACGATGTCGAGGGGGATCGGGGGGGGGAAGGGGGGGGGAGGGCGGGGGAGGGGGGGAGAGGGTGGAAGGCCGAGCTGGGTGCGCAAGCGTCGGTATCTGACGTCCTGCCCTCCCTACCATCCCCTACCATGTCGTAGATCTCCCCTCCGTTCGCACGGTCGGAGGTTGAGCGGGGCCATGATCCCCAGAGGATACAAGACGCATCGTATTGCGCGGCGTAGCGTGGCGTAGAAGAGCACGGCAGAGCGTCACACGTCATATCATGGCGAGGCATTATGCAGTGACGGATTGCAGCGCCAAGCACGGCATCACAGAAAGCATGGCATCGCACAGCGGAACACAACATAGCAAAGCATTATATTGCATGCCATGGCATGCCACTGGAAATGAGGCCAGCGCTGCAACGGGAGCACGATTCAGGACGAGCAGAAGCGGGGAAACGAAGTCAGCGCTGCAGCGGGAGCACGAGTAGAAACGAACCGAAACGCGGAAATGATGCCAGCGCTGCAGCGGAAGTACGATCCCGACCAAGCGGAAGCGCGGAAATGAGGCCAGCGCTGCAGCGGGAGCACCATTCGAATCGAGCGGAAGCCCCAGAATGCCAGGGCGGTGACACTGGAAATGGAGCCAGCGCTGCAGCGGGAGCACGATTCGGAACGAGCAGAGGCGTGGAAAGGAGGCCAGCGCGGCCGCGGGAGCACGAGTCAAAACGAGCGGACGCGTGGAAAATGAGGTCAGCGCTGGAGCGGGAGCACGATTAGGATAATTAGAGCGAGAGCGCGGACGTGAGGTCAGCGCTGGCAGCGGGAGCACGGCTCGGACCGCGCAGAAGCCCCAAAAATGAGGCCAGCGCTGCAGCGGGAGCAACATTTTGGAAGAACCGACACACACTCGGATTGGAAAAGCACCAACCAACATCCAACGCACAGGCATCCTACGTGAAAAAAAACAATACGCGGAGGGGGGCGCGCTCCCTCATAGGGGTCTTCGGGGGGGAAGGGAGACTAGTATTTTCACATCGAGAACAGTGGGCGCACGGCCGCAAGAAACCGTCGCAAGAATCCCAACCCTGAAAATCCACAACACTTCTTGCCCAAGGTCTGGGTTTCTTGGCCAGGGGCTCGAAGCGGAGAAACCCAGGGAACCATGGCCCGAGGAGTTTCTTCGCGGGTCGCGCTAGGAGAATGCGCGAGTAATAATTTCGCTGTTGGCACTCCGAATCCACGCAGGCGCAAGAAATTCAGGGTAACCTCGGCGCAGTGAGATTTCTTCGGTGTCGGGGAGTTCTAACAAGTTCCCGATTGGCCCTCCGACTCCGCGCGAATGCGAGAAATTAAAAGGTACCATTGGCGCAGCGGTTTTTTTTTTCCGGTGGCGGGGCTCTTTAGCAATTTCGCTGTTGGCCCTCCGATTCCGCGCGGAAGCAAGAAATTCAAGGTACCTTCGGCGCAACGAGGTTTCTTCGGTGGCGGGGCGTTGCTTCCGCGAGGTAGAATTGGGATGAAACGCAGGGTCTCCTGAACGCGAGTTTCTTGGCGCCCGCGGGGAACCGTCGCGGGCCGCGCGGAGCGAAGAAACCCAAGAGGCCCTGACGAAGAAACATCTGGCTTCTTGGCCCGCGCCCCCCACCGTAATTGCAGGAGGTGGGAGGGGCAGGGCTGGAGGAGGAGCCCGCGCCCCTCCCCCCGCCCCCCGTCCCTCGACTCCCCCTCCCCTCCTCCTGTGTTCCCCCCCTCCGGCCCCCGCCCCCCCGCCGCCCCTCCCCGTCGCTGCCGGGGCCGCGGCCGACGAAGCCGCCCACCAGAAACATGGCCGCGCGGATGGAGCTCGAGAGCTGGGGCCCGCGCCGCCGCGCGCAAGGCGCGCGCGCGCGGGCGGCGGGGGGGGGGGGAGGGGGAGGGGCAAGTTAGGTGCGCTCGCGTCAACATCTGACATCCTACCCCTCCCTCCCATCCCTTACCATGGCGCTGATTTTCTCTATCCGCGGACGCGTGTCGTAGCGGACCTGTGGCTCCGCGCGCGTGTGCGTAGTGGGTGGTGGTGCGCGTGCGTGCGTGCGTGTGTGCGTGGTTGTGGTTGTTGTGGTGGTGGTGTGTATGTGTGTGTGTGCGTGTGTGCGCGTGTGCTGTGGTGTGACGTGGTGTGGCGTCTTGGTGGTTTGGTGGTGGGCCAGGTGCGTACGTGCGTGATGGCGGTGGTGGTGGTGGTGGCGGTGGTGGTGTGTGTGTGTGTGTGTGTGTGTGTGTGTGTGTGTGTGTGTGTGTGTGTGTGTGTGTGTGTGTGTGTGTGTGTGGTGTGTGTGTGTGTGTGTGTGTGTGTGTGTGTGTGTGTGTGTGCGTGCGTTCGTGCGTATGTCTGTGTGTGCGCGCGTGTGATGTGGTGTGACGCGGTGTAGCGTGGTGGTGGTGGGTGGGGTAGTGCGGTGGTGGTGGCGGTGCGCGGTGGTGGTGCGCGTGCGTGCGTGCGTGCGTTGGTGGGTGGAAGTGGCGGTGGGTGTGCGTGCGGCGGGGCGGGGCGGGGCGTGGTGCGGCGCGGTGGTGGCGGGCGGATGGGCGCGCGAGAAAGAGGCCCGCGCTGGGGCGAGAACGCCATCCTGAACGACGGAGGCAAAACACCGATCCGAAAATGAGGCCCACGCTGCAGCGGGAGCACGATTCGGAACGATTCGGGAGCAGAAATGAGGCCGGCGCCTCAGCGAGAGCAGCATTTTGAAAAAAGACGCAGGCGAAAACCCAACTCCCGGGAATCCTGTGTGTTAAGAAACAGTACGCGGGGGGGGGTCGAATATTCCCAGCACGCCATCAGGGGAAGAGGGAGAGTAGTATTCACATTGAGTAATTGTGGAGGAGGAGGGGGGAGGGCGGCGGGGGGGGAGGAGGAGGGGCGGAGGGGGGGGAGGGGGAGGGCAGGGGAGGGGGGGAGGGGGGGAAGGGAACGGGGGGAGGGCGGCGGGGGGGGGAGGGGAGGGGGGAGGGGGAGGGGGGAGGGGGGGAGGGGGGAGGGGGCGAAGTGTTCTCTTCAGTGGACACACGCAGGTTTCGGACACCGAAGCGCGGTTGTCGCTGCTGTGCGCTGCACTCTGCCCTGTTTTGGGAGTGGCCTCCCTGGTTGTCGAGCACCCCCTCCCTGGAGGTCGCTCCGAGGCCTCCAGAGGCCTCCCTCCCCGGGTCCACTTCCTCGTCCTCGTCCTCGTCGTCCTCCTCCTTCTCCTTCCTCCCCTCCTCCTCCTCCTCCTCCTCTTCCTCCTCCTCCTCCTCTTCCTCCTCGTCGTCCTCTCGTCTCCTCCTCCTCCTCCTCGTCCTCCTCATCCTCCTCCTCCTCCTCCTCCTCCTCCTCCTCCTCCTCCTCCCCTTTCTGCTCCTTCTCCTCCTCCTCCTCCTCCTCCTCCTCCTCCTCCTCCTCCTCCTCATTTTGGCTGTAATGTGCAACGCACGCGAGGGGGGGGGGGAGGGGGCGGCGGCGGAGGATGGCGGACTCGTGAAGACGTGCTCTCCTCCCGGGGTGGGGGGCAGTGCGGCGTCTGCGCCGCAGGGCGGGAGTGGGAGGGGGAGGGACGGGGGGGGCGTGGAGAAGGAAGAGGAGGGGAGGGAGGCGAGAGGAGAGGGGGAGGATAGAGAAGGAGGGTCGACGGGTAAAAGGAAGGAAGCAGAGGAGGGTGGAGAACGAGAGAACGACATAACGGAAGAGGGGTGGAGGAGGATGAGGGGCTAAAGGAGCAGCAGGAGAAGGGTGAGGGAGTAGGAGGAGGACAAGCAGCACGAGGGTAGAGCAGGGAGGATGGAGGAAGAGGAGGAGGAAGAGGAGGAGGAGGAGGAGGAGGAGGAGGAGAAGGAGGGAGGATGAAGGAGGAGGAGGAGGAGGAGGAGGGAGGAAAGGAGGATGGAGGAGGTGGAGGAGGAGGAGGAGGAGAGAGGAGGAGGAGGAGGAAGGAGAGATGGGAGGAGTTGTTCTCATCAGGGAGGAGGAGGAGGAGGAGGAGGAGGAGGAGGAGGAGGAGTGGTCCTGGCGTCGATTGGAGGTCATGGTGTGCTGGCGAATCTGTTGTGGGGGAGGAGGAGTGCGGAAAGGAAGACGACTGGGAAAAGCACCACCTCTGTCTGATCGCCCTCCTGACCCATGTCTGCCCAAGGCTGCCATTCATCGCAGGTCGATCGAGTCGCTTGCAGAACCAATCGCACGTCGAATTGCAAATCGAATCATCGGTCGCATCACACATAGAGGAAGCAATCGAAGCGATCGACGCAACGGGCGGGCATCGTCACGCATCATCGAGTCCATCGAATCGGGGTCGGTCCTGATTCCCCCCTCTGCCGACCCCCTCGTCATCGTTTCTCCTCCTCCCCCTCTTCCTCATCTCCCCTCCCACCCCTCCAGCCCCCTCCTCATCCACTACTCCACCTGCTCTTCTTCATGCTCCCTCCCATATCCCCCTCCATCTCTTTCCTCCTCCTCCTCCTCCTGCTTCTCTTCGTCCCCCCCCATACGCTCCCCTCCTCCTCACTCGTCTTTCTCCCGTCACCTTCAAACCTCAAAAACTCAATTGAATCCAGGAGAGCCCTTAGCCCCCCCTAAAGCCCCCAGATTCCCGAAAGCTGTGGTTCGCCATCCTCGTCCTCCTCCCGCTCATCTTCATCTTCCTTCCCTCTTCCTCCTCCTCCTCCTCCCGCCTTCTCTCGGTCCTTTCCTCTGAAAGGGACCCCATGCAGCACAACAATGACCCAGAACGGAGGAAGCACGATCCAGAATGAGGATCGACATCTCCACCTTGGGGGTCTGGGGGACCCTCCCTCCCCCCCCCCCGCAGGCATCCCACGCCATATCTTTTCACGACGCGGGCCCCCGGACCTCTCCACCCCGCCCCCGGGGGGTCACACGTCCCCCCCCATACCCGGACACATGTCTGACGACCCCCTGCTGGGGCCCGCAACGGGCCCCACAACGCCCAGATATCGGGGGCGGCCCAAAAAGGGGGGCGTCAACGAGGGCGGGGGGGGGCGAATCGTGACCGGCGGCAGGTGCGCGGCCCAGCGGGGGGGCCAGGAAAGCAATGACATAAGAAAGGGCGCCATGAAATCTGGGGAAATATCGTGGCCCCCGCCATGGTATCCACCCACCCACCCTAGTCATCACCCCCCTCTTTGCCGCCCCCGAAAATAACTTATTCCAGCCGCCGTGTCCATTGCATTGTGCCAAAGGTCTGGGAAGACTCACCCCGCAATTCGCGCGGACGCGTTTCGAGTTGTGTCCTCCGTGGCGGTGAGGCCTCCCCCGAAGGAGCACACGCTTCGTGGCCCCGTACGGAGATGCATCGAAGGCCCTGTCGGACGAAATGCAAAGCAATGCACAACCAGGTAAAGCAGCACAAAGGGAGCTCCATATGGAGCTCCACCGACGGCCCCAGTGGCGTCATAGGGAGCTCCACCGACGGTCCCAGTGGCGTCTCTCGCATGCGTCCCCCGCACCCATTCCAGCACACCCCTCATACGTTTCGTGGCCACATAGGGAGCTCCACCGACGGCCCGTGGCGTCTCTCGCATGCGTCCCCCGCACCCATTCCGGCACACACCTCACACGTTTCGTGGCCCCACAGGGAGCTCCACCGAAGGCCCCAGTGGCGTCTCTCGCATGCGCCCCCCGCATCCATGTCGGCACACCCCCCACACGTTCCGTGGCCCCGTGGGGACCTCCACCGAAGGCCCCAGTGGCAGTGCTGCTCGCATGTGTCATCCGCACCGGTTTCGGCACACACACACACACACCACACGGTTCGTGGCCCCATAGGGAGCTCCGCCGAGGACTGTTCTCACAACCGCGGCACTCACACTTGAACACGTCTGGTCCTTCGCGAGGACATCTTTCTCACAACAAGAGGAGTTGGGGGGAGGCAGAGAGGGGAGGAGGCGAGGTGAGGTGAGTAGGGAGATACTAGAGGCCTCCTGGATGGGGTCGGAGTAGATGGGGTCGGAGGATCGCGCCACATCGCCGATACATCGGCGATGCATCGGCGATGCACCAGCGATGCATCGTCGACGTCGGCGATGCATCGGCGACGTCGACGTGAAGCAAATCGGGCTGCACGTCGAGCCGCATCGTCGATGCATCGGCGATGCGGCGCGATCCCCTGACCCCATCTACTCCGACCCCATCTGGGAGGCCCTTGAGATGCGGGGAGCTGCGCATTCGAACTCCCGCGGGCCCGCGCCCCAGGCCCCCCAGGCTCCTGGAACTGCTCCGGCGGCAGCATCTCTGGGCAGATGGCCTCTGGCCGCGGAAGGCCGCCGCCGGAGCCGACGTCGACCGCCAGCGTCGGCGGTCGGCGTCGGTGGTCGTCGTCGCTGGCGTCGTCGCCGGCGACGTCGTCGGCGCCGCCGTCGTCAGTGGTCTGCGCCATCTTTGCCGCCGTCGCCAGCGTCGTCGACGGCGTCGTCGGCGGCGGCGGCGCCGGCGGCCACGGCGCCGGCGTCGGCGCAGGCGTCTTCTTGGCCGTCGTCGTCGTCGTCGTCGTCGTCGTCGTCGTCGTCGTCGTCGTCGTCGTCGTCGTCGTCGTCGTAACGTGCCAACATGGGTCGGGCGGACGCATGCGAATTGCGGAGCAGAGGCACTCGGTGGAGCTCCATATGGGGGCCACGAACCGTGTGAGGTGTGTGCGCCGAACTATGCTGTGGGGGCGCATGCGAACTGCGCCAGGGAGGCACTCGGTGGAGCTCCCAATGAGCTCATGAACCGTTCGGGGGGTGTGCCGAAGCGGGTCGGGCGCCACGGAGGCGCTCGATGGAGCTCCCCTATGGGGCTCACGAACCGTTCGGGGTGCGTGTGCAGGAGTGAACGCATGCGAGTTGCGCCTCGGAGGCACTCGGTGGAGCTCCATATGGGGGCCACGACGTGTGTGATGGGTGTGCCGGCATGGGTCGGGCGGGCGCCTGCGAACGGCGCCGCGGAGGCACTCGGTGGAGCTCCGTATGGGCACACGAAACATCGGGGGGGGGCCAGAATGAGTCGGGCGGACGCATGCGAAGTGCTCCACGGAGGCACTCGGCGGAGCTCCCTATAGGATCACGAAACGTGTGATGGGTGTGCCAACATGGGTCGGGCGGACGCATGCGAGCTACGCCACGAAAAGACTCAGTGAAGTGCCTTCGGAGCGGCGAACCGTGTGAAGGGTGTGCCGAAATGGGCCGGGCGGGCGCCTGCGAATTACGCCGCGGAGGCACTCGGTAGAGATCCATACGGGGCCACGAAACGTGTGAAGGGTGTGCCGAAATATGTCGGGCAAACGCATGCGAACTGCGCAGCGGGGGCACTCGATGGAGCTCCGCATGGGGGCCACGAAGCGCGTGAGATGCGTGCCACACGGGTCGCGCGGACGCATGCGAACTGCGCCAGGGAGGCACTCGGTGGAGCTCCTTATGGGGCCACGTGTGAGCTTGTGCCCAACTGGGTCGGGCGGGCGCATGCGAACTGCGCCGCGGAAGCACTCGGTGGAGCCTCCATTGGGCCCTCGAACCGTGTGAGGGGCGTGCCGAAGCGGATCGGGCGGATGCGTGCGAACTGCGCCACGGAGGCACTCGGTGGAGCTCCCCATTGGGCCGCGAAGCTTGTGAGGGGTGCGCGGGAATGGGTCGGGCGGACACATGCGAACTGCACCCCTGGGACCTTCGGTGGACCTCCCTGTGGGGCCACGAAACGCGTGCGGGGTGTGACGACGTGGACATGCGGAGGGCAGATGCAACGATGGGAGGAGGGAGGAGGGGGAGGGGGGGAGGGGGGGGGGGGGGAAGAGGAGAGAGGAGAGGAGAGAGGAGAGGAGAGGAGAGGACATGAGAGGAGAGGAGTGACACGGGGCGTTGTCTCTTCAAAGCGAAGACCCCAGCACCACAGGATGGTTTGGAAAAACATGGTTGGATGCCTGGGCAAGGGACATGCAGTGGACTGACTATACCAAGTGAAAACCAGGATGAGGCCGAGCTGCACTAGATTAAATAGGACTGAGCCAGATTGCGCCGGATTCGGCCGAGTGAGGCCCGAGGAAATGCCAGCGCCGAAGCTGAACTTAACCTCCTAGGAGTTACAGCCTAAGCATGTTGAGCCTACCCATAAGCCTAAATTAGCAGGCCCAACGGGCCAAAGGCGTGCTAAATTCTCTGGTTACAGCTTCAGAATACTTGTAATTCGCGCGCATGGCTGCCTGAGGGTCCCCGGACGAAAAGTACCTGCCGGAACTCCCCGGCGGTCCCCGTCACGGATGCCGGAACTCCTGGGTCTGCCTTCGGGACCTTCAAGATCGTCTCAAGAGGCCCCCAAGGCGGTCTTGGAGGATCCAGAGTCACGAGAAGTCGTTCCAAGATGCCAAAGATAGCCTCCAGACGGCTTCAACCGCCTCCAAGACGCCCGAAGATGCCTCCAAGACCACTCTCAAGAAGCCCCCTAGAGGCAAAATCAACGATTTTCCATTGGTTTTTTAAAGGATTTCAACGTCCTCATCTTTTCGGCCCCAAACGGCACACGGGGACTCCAAGACGGCCCAAGTTTCTCCCAAGACGGCGCTGGAGAGCCCCAAGACACCTTCAGGAAGACCCCTCCATGGGGGAGCCCCAGCGGATATTTCGAGCGCCTCAAAATCGCCACCAGGCCCCCCCCCCCGGGCCTCCGCTCTCAATAGGCCTTCGGCCTCCAAATCTCTCCCAGAGCCTCCCCCGAGGCCTCCGAGGAGCTCCCAACAGGTCCCATGAGGCTCCCAAGCGGCCCCCAAGAGACCCCCAAGAGGGTCCAAGAGGCCCCCAAGAGGCGCCAAGGCGCCCACAGGAGGCCCCCAAGAGCCCCTCAAACTGCTACACAGGAGCCCCCCGAGAACCCTCCGAAGAGACACCGAGAAGCATCCATAAGGACTCTCACCCACAACCGCAGCAGCGCCGACCAGCAGCGCCGCATGGCCTGCGAACGAGCACGCAAACGCCAACGATGGCACAATACAGGCCGTCGGAATGAGCGAAGCGATTAAATAATCATCCTGGCCAGGGACCCAACCATATGCATTTTTTTGCACAGCGTTGTGGGTACCGCGTTCGGTGGAACTCCCTATGGGGCCACGAAGTGTGCGAGGGGTGTCCCAACTTGGGTGCGGTGGTGCCATGGGAACGCAGCCGCTGGGGCCTTCGGTGAAGCTCCTTATGGGGCCACGAAGCTTATAAGGGATGTGCCGAAACTCGCGCGGCGGTGCCATACGAACGCAGCCGCTGCGACCGCCAGTGGGCTTTCCTATGGGGCCACGAGACGCCTGAGAGGAGTACCAAAATTCGCCGGGCGGACGCATGCGAGATGCGCCACGAAGGAAATCGGTTGAGGTCCCTATGAGGCCACGGGCCGCGGCGAAGTGCGCCGCGGACGCACTTGGTGAAACTCCCTATGGGGCCACGAAGCGCGTGAGAGTGCGCTGAAATAGGCCGGGCGGGCGCATGCGAACTGAGCCGCGGAAACACTCGGTGGAGCTCACTACGGGACGACGGAAAATGTGAAACGTGTGCCAAAATCAGTGGGTCGGACACAAGCGAACTGCGCCGGTGGGGCACTCGGTGGAGCTCCCTGTCGACATGGGTCGGGCGGTCGCATGCGAACCGTGACACGGATGCACTTGGTGGAGCTCCCTATGGGGCCACGAAGCGCGTGAGGGCGGCGCATGCACCACGGAGGCATTCGGTCAAGCTCCGTCTGGGGCGCCGAACTGCATGAGGGGAGTGCCGACATGGGTTGGGCGGACGCATGCGAACTGCGCCACGGAAGCAATCGTTATTGTTCCCTATGGGGCCACGAAGCGTGTGAGGGGTGTGTCGACATGGGTCGAGCGGACACTTGCGAACACGGAAGCACTCGGTGAAGCTCCCTATGGGATCGCGAGCCGCGTGAAGGGTGTGCCCGAATGGGCGCGGCGGGCGCATGCGAACTCCACCGCGGAGGCACGTGGTGAAGCGCCCTATGGGGCGCCGAACTGCATGAGGGGCGTGCCGAAATAAGTCGGGCGGGCGCATGCGAACTGCGCCACGGAAGCACTCGGTGAAGTTCCCTATTGGGACACGAAGCGTGTGAAGAGCGTGTCGAAATTATGGCTACACTACCATGCGAACTGCGCCCCTGGGCCCTTCGCTGGAGCTTCCTGTGGGGTCGCGAAATGTCTGAGGGTTGCGGCGCCATGAATACGCGGAGGGCAGATGCAAGGATGGGAAGAGGGAGTAGGGCGAGGGGTGAAGGGGGAGGAGGAGAGGAGAGAGGAGAGGCGAGGCGAGGCGAGGCGAGGAGAGGAGAGGCAGAGGAGAGGAGAAGAGAGGAGGAGAGGAGAGGGGAGGGGAGGGGAGGAGAGGAGAGAGGAAAAGAGAGAAGAGGAGGGAAGAGGATCGGAGAGAAAAGGACAGGAGAGGAGAGGAGTGACGCGGGGCGCTGTCTCTTCAAAGCGAAGACACCAACACCACATGATGGTTTGGAAAAGCAAGGTTGGATGCCGGGGCAAGAGGCATGCAGTGAACTATGCAAGGTTCAGCCCTGAGCAGGACTGAGCCAGACTGCTCCGGATTCGGCCGAGTGGGGCCCAAGGAAACATCAGCACCAAAGATGCACTTAACCTCCAAGGGGTTGCAGCCTAAGCATTTTGAGTTTACCGATTCAACTGAATCCGCCGACCCCGCTTGCGGGGGGGGAGAAGGCGTGTAAGACAGTTGGCTGTCCCCTCTCCCCCTTCCCCCCTCAGCTCCAAATTTGCTCTAGAGATCCTGCAACGACCGTGAAACGATTTGACCGACGAAAAAAGGGGGCAACGCGCGGCTCCGATGCCCTGCCAGCCCCCCCTAGGACCCGTCCCTTCCGCGAGGGCGCGCCGCCCAATCGACGGCCCCCCCCCCCCCCGCCCGCAGCGGAAAGGGAAGGCGCGCGCACGGGCGGGCGCCTTCGAGGTGGGAGGGCGTCCACCGGTCGACGGGGGTTCGGGGCTATCCGGCAGACGCGCGCCCCGGCGGGCTCCCGCAGGGCCAAAGGACAGGGGGCGAAGGGCTTTTCAGCCGCGCGTGGCCCTCCTGGCCTAACCGACTTGGGCCTAGCAGCGATCGCAGCCCCCGACGCGCTCTGGGCTGCGTGGGGGCCGTCTCGCGCGTTCCCACGCTGGCGAAGCCCCTGTTCCCAAGGGTCGCATGGAGCCCCGCGTCGCGCATGCAAGCGCTTACCCTTGCGCCGCCTGCGCCTCGCGGTCCGCTGGGAATACGGCGTGCCGTCACCTCGTGGCAGTCCGCTGCCCCAGGCTGCGCGGCTGCCATTCTCTCTTTGCGGCGGCGGCGCGCCCGTCCCGACGGGTCGCACAAGGCGCCGCCGCTGCCGTTGCCCGAGCGCTTCGTCGAGCCCCACCGCGCCTTCTCGATGGGAGCCTGCTGCGGCGCTCGATCACGGCCTCTGTGGCCAACTCCTGGCGCTCGTACGCGCGCCCCAACATCTTCGCCAGCGGCACCTTTTCCCTGCCCGTCTCGGCCATCGTTTTGCCCGCGGAGTCCAAGATATCGAAGACTAGGATCAGGCAGGCGAGCGCCTCATCTGGTCCGCCAAATCCAAGATGGGACAGATTGGAGGCGGGCTGAAGGCGCGGGAGTTGCCCGTGAACCTGTCCTGGGAGAGGCGCGAGTCCCTGCAGCAAGGGCGGATGTTCAGCTCCCCGAGCTTGTCCACGGTGATCCTCTCCTCCGAGAGCGCGGGCACGTGCTTGGTAGGCCTTTTGTAGGGTCTCGCTGCTGTCGGTGATGGGTTCCATGGCAGCCCCGAACTCCCTCTGCAACAGTCCGTCAAGGGGGATATTGCTCCCGGGCATAGTGTACACGGTGGACGCCAGCTTGGCCGTCCCCAGCGCCGTCAGGGTGCCCTCCCGCTCTGGGCTACCGTGGCCGAATTAGACCATCTCCGCCTGGCCCTTCTGGCTGCACCCCTGGTTCTGTTCGGTGCGCTCAACTTCCCCGTCGCTGGCAAGATCCGTGCCGCCATTCTTGATGGTGGGATGAGACGGGGAGATAATAACGCGGAGCTCCCACAGGTCGGCGCCCTTCTCCGACGTCGGAGAAGGGCCCTTTCATCTCCCCCTCCTCCTTCCCCCTCTCCTCCTCTTCCTCCCCCCATCCCATCCTCCTCCGCCTCCACCCATACTCTTTTTTTTCTTGCTCTCCACCCGCGGCCCTTCAGTCGACAACCACGTCAACCACGTTTAACCACGAAACCACGCGCCAGGCGCGAAGGGCGAGCGAGAGAGAGAGAGAGAGAGAAAAAAAAAAAAAAAAAAAAAAAAAAAAAAAAAAAAAAAAAAACACGCCACACCGAACACAAAAAAATGCGTGAGAGAGAGAGAGAGAGAGAAAGAACAATACATGCATAAAGAAAGAGATATATCGAAAGAGAGAGAGAGAGAGAGCGAGAGAGAGAGAGAGGATAATCACAAAAGAGCGCTACACACCAAAAAACTTGGATGGGCAAGTGCCCGCCGCACGCGTCCAGTAGACCCGCGACGGCGCCCACGCGAGGCACCGCATTCGCATGCGATCGTCATCACCTCCCCCCCCTCCCCCCGCCGCCTTCCTTTCCTCTTTCCCCCGCTTCTCCCCCTCCTCCTCCTCCTCCCCCTCGCCCTCCTCCTCTCCTCCCCCGCGCGGCGCGCCCTCGGCTCCCGCCGAGGCTGGCCCGCGCGCGCGCGAGCTCGAGCCCTCGCGCGAGGCCCTGCGTCGACTCTTCCTCCTCCGTCTTCCCCGTGCTCCTCGCTCTTGCCTCGTTGTCCTCCCCCCCTGCCCCTCCTGCCCCCACTGTACTGTTTCTTTTGCCCCTGAGGAAGGCGAGCCAACGAAGCAAGGTGAGATGTTGTACGCGCGTGGCGCCGTAATGCTGCGCCAGTAGCATGTCTTAACACATGTTGCTAGCGCAGCATCAGGACATCAACCAGCAAATTGGCAACACATCGAAGCAACTTGTAAAATTTCAGATATTCCGAACAATCACAAACAATCAGAACAAAAGTGCCTGCGGCCGCAGCTCTTGCGCGAGCACCTCCAGTAGCCTCCTGCGGTGGTGCCTCCTCGCTTGTCCTCTTGCGATGGCACCGCACTGCGCGCCCACTTTCTCGCCTTGAAGAGGGCCGTCCTGCAGTGCGGGCACACGTGCTTTATGTGCTAGTACCCGCCGCAGCCACTCGTGAAGACTGCTGCAACTCCCCGACGCTCGTCGTTCAAGATGGCCCCGTAAATCTTCTCCAGGCCGAACTGCCGGACCAATGGCCCATCCCTGTGTTTCGCGAGATTCGCTTCCACAGAGAGCTCGATAGGCTTGGTCTGCTGCGACGGCGACTCCCTCTTTCGTTTGTTCCTCAGTTTGAACCACTCGGATTTCAGGCTGGGGGTACCCTACCCGGCCTGAGTCAGCACTCCGCGTCTCCGTGCTGCTTGTCCCCGTGGAACCTGAAGCACATGTAGTGGCACGGGCGCGACGGGCCCGAGAGTCTGTGAACGAGTGTCCGCGGGAATTCGCCGCCCATGGCCTTGGCAACGTGCTCGCGTGCGACGGTCGAGCTGTGGCTCTGGAAGCATGGCGCCTCACCGTCCTCATGGGCCTGAATGAAGCAGGGCATTCAGTCGCACTTGACCTTGCAGTAGTGGCATGTGGCCGGGCTGTGCGCGACGACATGGCCGCCCTTGAACCCGGCTGCGCCGTCGGCCTCCCTCGCCACAGGCGGCAACTTCGCCTTGGACGCGACCTTCGCGGCTACGTGCCCCTCGCAGACCTCCGATCAGTCCTCTTCGTTCGTCCAGCGCCGAGCTCGGCGAGAGGTGGACTCTGCTCGCCCGACGCCCTGGCTTCCGCCCCGAAGGGTCGTATGGAGCGTTGCCACTCGCTATCGCCCTTCCTTCTCGATGTTCCGCCTCGGCCCCATCCTGCCGTCCCCGTGCGGGCTGGCATGGCTGGCGCCAGGGAGGCACTTTCATCGTAGCCGCCGCGGCGCGGCGTCGAGGGGGCAGGCCCAATTTACCAGCCTGGAACATATCCCCATCCCTATGCTGGGTACCTCCTCATCACGATGCCGATCTCAGGGATTCCCTTATTTTTTGAGGGCGAATCCCTAAGATTGTCATCGCCTTTTGGCGTGTCAATCTTAGGGATAGGGATAGGGATACGTTCGAGGCTGGTAACCACTGGGCAGCTTCGGCGCCAAGCCATTTTTCGGAAACGGCCGAACGCCGGAGCCCGAATGGCCTCAGACGTCAGGAGTGGAAAAGGATGCGCTGTCGTGTTGGCGCACGGAGGCTTTCAGTGGCACGTGTTGCTAACATTGAAGGGTCCCTGGGACACACAAATAAATACACACAAATAAAAATATTCCCCATATTTTCCCATATTTTCGGGGTTTCTGTCTTCCCCCCCACTTCCCATATTTTCCCATATTTTCTGGGGAATCGACGATTAATTGTGTCTGTGTGTTTCTTCCCCTCCTGACATTCAGGGTACAAGGGCGGAAACATTACCGAGCAAGCCTTCCGGATTCCCTCAGCGCAGGGTTGGGATTCGTGGTTGGTGGAACCTAGGCCAACATGTATAGGAACCATTCGAGACTCTACGAGCATGGAGTTCTTTATTACGGTTTCCTGCGCCACCGAATCCAAATTGGGGCTGGGGTTCGCAAAATCCCTGGGTCTCCCGTAACTCAAAATCCAGGTTCGGGGCGGGGCGGGGTGGGATTATAGGCAAATTTCCAAGTTCCCCATGTCTCAGAATCCAAGTTGTGTGTGCGTCGGAACCTCGGCTCTGAAACTCTGCAGCGTGGCGGACCCATGACCAACCAAGGCTCTGCGAAGATGCCACGTAATGACAACTTCATGCTGTTCAATCCAAGATGGGAAACCCTGAGCCAACAAATATTGATACCTTGGGGAGGGGGGCTGGCTTTGCTTCCGCCGCCTTTCGCCAAGCTTCCGCCGGCGGAGCCGCCCCCGGTTTGTTTCCGCCAGCTTCCGTCGTGCTTCCGGCAGGGACGAGATCTCAACCCCTCGATTCCTCGCAGGCGAGGCCCTTTCTGAAACACCTCAGGTGGAGAGGGGTGGTGGGATGCCGAGAGGTGGGAGGGGGGTGGGCGGGAATGGAAGGGGGACAAGGGACAAGGGAAGCAAACACAAGAGCAACAATCAAAGGCTGATAGCCTGTGAACGGGAGGGAATGATCAGAGAGCCAACCCCTCCAATGATCCACAGGATGGAGGCGACAGATGTTTTCTCCTCTGGCAAGCAGAGGTGGCCATGTGCCTAACCTATGCCAACACCTGGGCCGAAAAAGCAGCAGATGAGGAGAGGAGGTATGGTCGGAACCGTTTGCTTAGTGTATCGCCGCGGCGGCCCTGGCGACACGCTATGCCCTGCAAGCGGATAGCGTGTCCCTTCGCTCCGCGGAGCGGGAGGCTGGGAAAGGCTCGGTGCTCTGGCGCTGGCGCTGGGGAAGCGGGACGTGGATATCGTGCCGCGCCGAAGCGTGGTAGGCCAGAACTTGGGGATCGACACGCTGTCCAAAAGTTACCGACCGTATCTATGCCAACCCCTGGGACGAAAGGGCAGCGGATGAGGAGAGGAGGCATGCAAGAGCGAGGTAATTACAGACACAAAACGGAAGGGGGTGGGGGTGGGGGGGGAGAGGCGGGCGGCATCCCCCACACAGGCCCCTCGCCCTGCCTCGGTGGTCACGTCGCACAGCCCCTCGCCGAGCCTCCAGGCAAGGATGCCCAGCAGGAAGACCCTGAAGAGCCCGCGCGACGCGGCGAAGTAGCAGGTGAAGATGCCCAGGGCGGCCAGGAGGATCCTTGCCCCCCCTGACTCAGCCCCTGAACTACGTTGGGCAATTCTAGAAGAAGAAGAAGAAGAAGAAAAACAAAAACGCCATGAACATAAACTGTTGGCGCTCGCCGCGGTTTTCTTGGATCTGCGCCGGATCCCCCTCCCTGGCGCGCGGAGCGCGCCAAGGGGCGGCGCCGGAGGCGCCGCTGCGGGGGCCCAGCGCGGATCCAAGAAATCCGCGCGGAGCGCAAACAGTTTATGTTTATGGCGGTTGCTCTTCTTCGAAATTCGGGGGCGTCCAAGAGGGAGGCGTCCAAAAGGTGGGTTTGTAGGTCATGGCCATGGGCACTTGCGCGGACAAGGGAAGGAACAGCGGACGTCCTGACAGAACCGAAGGAGGCCACGAAGGCTGGGGAGATCTCCTGGGCCAGACTTGATACCCCCCTCCTCCTCCTCCTCCTCCTCCTCCTCCTCCTCCTCCTCCTCCTCGTCCTCGTCCTCCTCCCCCTCCTCCCACTCCTCGTCCTCCTCCCCTCCTCCTCCTCCTCGTCCTCCTCCCCCTAGCCCCCCCCCCTCTTGGCCGCCCCTGGGCAATCGCTCATAGCAGCCCCGTGCCGAGGGCGAAGAACTGCCCCGCGGGGAGGGAGTCTGGGCCGCTGGCGCCGCGGATTGCACAAGGCACACCGGGCCAGATGCCCCAGGAGCTGCGCGCGTGCCTGGGAAGCGATGTCCAGGAGCTTGCGCGGCCCTGCCTGGGGGCTGCTGTAACTCGCCATCGCTCGGACGTCCATTCCCTGTGCATTTTTCGATTTCGTGCGTGTATTTTTTCGTAAGGTGACCCACAATACTCTTCGATGGTCCTCGCCCCCCAAAAATGCACAAGTCCGAGCGATGCCAAGGTAAGGGCTGCGAGCTGGGGAACGTTGCCCAGAGGCTGGCGAGGCGCTGCCTGGGAGCCACCTGGGGAACGGGCAGTGCGCTGAGGAAACCTGGCGGCGGCGTGCGCGACGGCCCTTCTGCTTGTGCCCCCTCGGCGCGAGCCTGTCTCTGGACCCGCCTCACGTCGGTTGACGCTCTTAAAGGATGCCAGAGGTGCGCCCCCGACGGTGCGAACGAGCGAGGCAGACATCTCCGCCTCAGAAATCTGGAGGCACATAGCTCCGCGAACGAGCGGGCTTGGCCTTCTCCTTGGCCTTCTGATCGGCCCTGTCCTGGGCCAGCGCGCTGCTCTTCGCCGATGCCCCCGCGGCGGAGGCGGCCGCGCCGGCCTCCGGCAGCGCGGCGGGGCGTCCCTGGCCGCCGCCGCGGGGCGCCGCCGCGGGGAGCAACAGGGCGCGGCAGCGCTGTCCCGGGACTCCGCCTGGACAGGCCTGCCCCGCAGGGCGAGCGGGCCCGGCGGCGTCGGAGGCCCTGCGCTGCCAGCAGCAAAACGGCGCCCCCCAACAAAAATGTCTGGAAGCCAGCAGGGTCGCGCCCGTGCGCGCGCGGCAGCTACGCCATGGGAGCGCGATGGCGATCGGCGCGCGACCCTGCGACCAGCGGAAGCATCGAGGGGAACTGCATGGCGAGGTGCTGCGGCTGGGCCCCGGACGCCTGCTGGGCGACGTTCCGGAGCAAGGCCACGGGGCAGTTCGCGAGCGGCGCGCCTGCGCTCCCGCTCGCAGCGCTGCCGGCGACCTTCTTGGACGCGCTGCGAAAGAAGACGCCGCAGACAACGATGTCGCACCTCTCCATGACGCCCGCCTGCGGTGCCACTTCATTCGCCTGGTAATGGGGGTCAGACAACTGGGGGTCAGAGTCAGCGAAAGGCAAACAACAGAAAACTGATTTTCTGAAAAACTGAATGGCTTGGGCCACGTATTTCCAAGGGAATTGCCCGGGAAAGAGCCAGGAGGGCGTCGCTTTTAAGAGGAATGCGACGCAGAAGAAGGAACATCTGCGACATTGAGCCTACCCTTTCCTGACCCCCCAAAGGCTGACCCCCAGCAGCAGGCGAAGGGCCACTGGCCGAGCATCGGCCCCGCAGGCGAAGGAGCGGGCCTGAGGCTCCAGCATCTCGGGCCCCTGAGGGCACGCTGAACTGCGGCCGCGGGGGTAAGTCTCGGTGGCGTCGAGGCTCTCGATTAACTCCTTTAAGTGCACGGCCGGGCGCTTCATCGCAGGGCAGTTGATGTCGACCAGGGCGCTGCCACAGCATATCAAAGTCGCCGCGCCCTGCTTCGGCAAGGCCTCCGACGGGCGCGCGACCCCGAGATGCCGCGTGCGATCGACAACCAGGGCGATCTTGGCCGCGACGCCCAACTCGCCCCCCATGAGTGACGCCCAGTCGCCCTGCGTGAAAAAACCATACGACGCGAGAGAACTTCTGCGGTTTCCGCGATTGCCCCGCCGCTGGCTGGGGACCTTGCGCGGCCGGCACGGCGCCTTGAAGGGCGGCGGGAAGCGTCGCCTTCTGAAGCTCCGCCCACGGCCCTGCGGCGATGCCCTCGGCGACTGCCGTCGCCGCGGCCGCGTTGATGCCGTCCGGCGGGCCGATCGTGGACCCGATAACTGTCTTCCTGGGAGAGAGAACCGGAGTCAGAGGGGGGGGGGACGGAGGCGAGCGCAGGAAGAGGAGGCCCCGCCTCCTCCGGCGCCTGCGGGCGGCCAGGGGTCGGCCCAATGCAGAGGGGCGGGGGTTCGGCCTCGCGCCCGGCGGCAGTGGTCGGGGGGGCGTGCGGGGGGCGTGGGCGAGGGGCGGAGGGAGGCGCGTAGCCTTGCGAGCCTGGCGTCGATGCAATTGCTCTGCAACGGGCGCTTTCGCCCCGTTTCGGGGCCCCGGGAACCCTCACGAATCGTTCTGGCTCGAAAAATGACGCAGAAAGATGGGGTCGATGTCGAGGGCTCCGGTGGTGATCTTTCGCGATGTTGCAATTTTTTAACAACGTCGGATCTCAGGGAGGGCGGGAGGGGAAGAGGGAAGGGCGTCCCTCTGGGGCGGGGCTTCGGCCACCAGTGGCCTCCACCGGGGGCCCCAGGGTCAGTGGAGAGCCCGACGATCCGCATGGGCTCGGAGTTTGGGAGCCCTGGGCGCTCTCACTGCAGCTACCTTTGAAGGCGTGAAGAGAAACAACTTCTCGATGCGAGCGCAATGTTCATCTTTCTGCGAAATATTGTTTCTGGTCGTCTGCATCACTCCCGTATGTGATTGCTCGTATTATTAATCTTACGATTACTACGACTATGAGAAGTATTAGAACAAGTGTTATGGGCATAAGTGTTGGCATTTGAACTAACACTGGGAATTTCAAAGTGTAGCACTAGTACTCATTCTACGATTATCACGATTTTTATTGTTACCATGAGTAGCAATATTACTCATCTTGGAATTGATTTTTATTCGCAATGTTATTCGTATCATTGATCTCACGATTGAAACTCGTATTGCCATCCGTGTTAAAATGCATCGTAGTTTCAATGATATTCGTATTATGATTCCTCTTACCGTTGATAGTGTTGTTAATATGATTCATGTGATTACTGTGATTCGCAGATTCGTTAATTTTATTATTCGTATTCTTCAGATGAATATCAATATGAGTCGTAGTATGAATATTCATACTATCATTCGTAGTTGTATTATTGTTGTTATCTCTGGCGCTTCACTTCTTTCTCTTCTCGTTCGGTCGGACCCTCCAGGGGCGCAGCGGCTCTATGCAGAGGAGGAGGAGGAGGAGGAGGAGGAGGAGGAGGAGGAGGAGGAGAGGAGGAGAGGGAGGAGGAGGAGGAGGAGGAGGAGGGGAGGAGGAGGAGGAGGAGGAGCTGCCTCAGCCCGCCCTTCGTGAAGACCCCCCCATCCCGTCCCAGCGCGCACGAAGATGCGCCGCCCGAGGCCGTGCGACATCGTGGCCGCCTCCCCACCGCGGTCTCGCTCTCCGTGGGCCGGCGCCGCCGCCGCTGCTGCCGGGGACGCCGCCGCCGCTGCTGCCGCCGACGCAGCTGCTGCCACTCGCGACCCTCCGCCGCCGCCGCCGTGCCCCAAGAGGCTCCCGAGGTCTGCCCAAGATCTTGGGCTAACCTCGAGAGCCAAGCTCTTGGCCAAGATCTTGGCTTGCCCAAGATCTTGGCCAAGAGGCCCCACAGTGCCCCCCCAGGAGGCCCCCCGAGGTCCGACGGCCGCCCGCGAAGGCCCCCCGGTCGCTCCCCGAGGCCCTCCATCCTCGAGCCTCGCTCGGCCTCGGCTCACGGCCTTGCGGGAGGGCAGCGGCGACGGGACCGGGCGCGGTCGGCCTGTTCCGACGCCAGCCCCGCTTCATCTGCGGCAGCCCTGGAAGCACACAGGAAGATCGGAGCGAGGCGAGCTGAGACAACGGCAGCTCGGGATCGGTCCCTGGGCCCCACCTGGCGTCCAGACGCACGACTTGCCCGAGCCCGCGCCCAGCAGCGGCGACAAGGGCCCCCCCGAAGGCCAGCTGCCGTTGTCTCAGCTCGCCTTCCTCTGAGAACGAATCTCATTAGAGGCCTCCTAGATGGGGTCCGAGTAGATGGGGTCGAAGGATCGCCCCGCATCGCAGATGTATCGGCGATGCATCGGCGATGCATCGGCGTTGCATCGGCGACGTCGGCGACGCATCGGCGCCGTCGGCGTGAAGCAAACCAGGCCCCGCATCGAGCCGCATCGCCGATGCATCGGCGATGCGGCGCGATCCTCCGACCCCATCTAGGAGGCCTAGACTCCTGCTGTGCCCCTCGAGGACTGCCGAAGGCAACCCGGCTCGGCAGGCCGCTGCGGCGCGGCAGCACGCGTCGTCAGGCAGGCGCCCTACGGCCTGGCGCCTGGCCCCACCCCGAACCTCGAGCTGGCGGCGCGCACGAGGGGGTGGCGCGAGGTGGGCGGGGGGGGAACCTTCTACGGCAAGCTCGTGTCGTGACGACCCTGGCGTGGGCTTCTGATGCCGCCGCGTGGATCGCTCAGCCTTGCACGACCGGCGGCTCTTCGATCGCCCGATCGCTCCATGTGGGCCGATGCCGGGCCACCTGCGGCGCCCAGCCATGAACGCACGCGGCGGGGCCGCCGCCGGTCGCCACGACGCGAGCCTGCCGCAAGAAGGCGGAGAGGCTCCGAGAGGGCAGGGGCCTTCGTAGGGGGCCGGAGTGGTTCCTGCTGGCCTCGGCCAGAATTTACCCTCAAAGGTGCGCCACGCGGATTGCTCGTGTGCTTGATGCTATGGGTATGGGCAACACTGCGTGCGAGGCACTTGTCGGCGCCCCCTCTCCGCATGCCGGTCACCGTGGAACTTCCGAATCGCACCAGCCCGAACCGAGTTGTTTCGATGCTGCCGAGGGATGTGAGATTTACCAGCCTGGTGCAGATCCCTATCCCTATGCTGGGCACCTCCTCATCACGATGCCAATCTTAGGGATCCCCTTATTTTTCGAGGGCGAATCCCTTAGATTGTCATCGCCTTTTGGCGTGTCAATCTTAGGGGTAGGGATACGTTCGAGGCTGGTAAAAGAAGGCTTCATGGGAGCCGGGGGGGACTTCTGAGAACCCCCCCCCCCCTTGCTTTTCACAGAAAAACACGCCTTTTTAAAGGCCGCCCCCCTGGCGCCGTCCCCCTGCGCGCGCCGCCGCGCGTCGATCCCGCCTCCTCCCTCCCTGCCTTGCGAGGACCGCGGCGCTGCCGCAGCTGCTGCCGCGGCTTCCGCCGCCGCCTCAACGGGGAGGAGGAGGAGGAGGCGATCCAGACTCGGGCGTGGCCTCTCCTCGAGGTGGGATACTCCTTGGGTTTTTTTGCCATCCTTGGGTTTTTTTGCAATCCTTGTTTTTTTTGTAAATCTTGGGTTTTTTTTGCAATCCTTTTTGCAATCCTTCGTTTTTTGCAAGCATGCGCCACCAGGAGCCCTGGGAGCCTCGCGCGGGCGGCTCGAGTCGGCGCCGGGCCCCGCCCCCACGCCAGGAGGGGGGGGGGGGGGGGGGGGGGGCAGCGCCGACCCAGGAGATCCGCGCGGACCTCCGGACGCCTGCCTGCGCGAAGGATGGCAGAAAAAACCGAAGGATTGCAAAAAACCCTGTTTTTTTTGCAATCCTTCGTTTTTGTTGCAATCCTTCGGTTTTTTGCAATCCTTCGCTCCCTCTGAGGGGCCTCTCCTCCCCCCCCCCCCTCCGCGGCCGCCCTGCCTGTCCTTTTCCCCTCTCCCGCACGCCGGCCAAGCCGCTCCTCGGCGCCCCCGCTCGGCTCTGGCGCTGGTGCGGCCCACTCTGCCCCGCCGCCGACGGACAAAAGTTTGTGCGCGCTCTTCGGCCCTGACCAACCTTGGGGAGCCCCCTCCTTCCTGGTCCGCTTGGGATCGATGGCCTTCCGACCGCACATCAGCGCCAACGCGTGCTCGTCCACCGAAGCCCTTCAGCACGACGCGAGCGGTGTAACGATGGCCGATAAAAAGATGCGCGCATTCGGCGGAGCTGTAAAAGATAAAGACACACACACACACACGCACACTTTTTTGATCCGCGGGTCGAGAGCGCACCTCTTCGGGTCGAAGCTAACAAGAAAAGTAAACACACTGTTTTTGGTCGGCGGGTCGAGAGCGGACCTCTTCCGGTCAAGAGCTAAGAAAAAACAATAAAAAAGGTAAACACACACGCACACACACACACACACACATTCGGCCAAGGTGAGGGACTTTTGCTCAGCGTCTCGCGGCGGGGGGCCCCCGCGACGCGCTGTGCCGTGCACGCCGACCGCGTGCCGCTCTCCCTCGCGGGGCGGGGGGCCAGGAAAGTCTCGGGACGCCGACGCCTGGGACTCGGGGCGCGGCCAGCGTGCCGCGCCGAAGTGCGGTGGCAGACCGTGCGGTGACCCAGGAATCCTTCGGCGGCAACGCATGGAAGCCTCCCGTACCATCTTGTTGGCTCTTGCTAGATCGACGCCAGATCGCCACTATATCGACGCTAAGCGACGCCAAATCGGCGCTATCTCATCGACCCCCAGACGCAAATCGACCCTAAATCGACGCTAAACACGGAATTAAGGGGGTGTACAAAGCTCCCATGACTTGCTACCGAAAAACCCTACCCTGCAAGGTGCATCACCGCACCGCACCGCTTCGGGCCCCCGAAGGCCCCGTCGCCCAAGACATCCTCGGAGACCGCCCCGAATCCAAAGACCGTGCGGCCACCCCGAATCCCCACTGACTCACCACACGGTGGTCACCGCATCATTTGGGGGGCCCCGACATCGTGAGTGAAAAACGCATCCGTATCCGCCGCCTCGCGGGCCAGGCCCCTGGGCCGCGGCCCCGCGGATACGGAGCATTTGTTTTGCGGATGCTCCGCACCGAACGTATCCGAGCCTGGATCATCGCATAGTGCAAGCACTGATTGGGGAATGTTCACACGGCTGCCCCCCAACGACGCAATTCCCTCAGTGGAAATGGCCCCTCGTAGAGGCCTGCGAAGAGGGATCTTGGAGAGAGGGTGTATTTCAACATCGTTGGTGAGTCTTGGGTTTACACTGTTCCTCATCCTGCTCCTCCTCCTCCTCCTCCTCCTCCTCCTCGTCCTCCTCCTCCTCCTCCTCTTCC